GTGTGGACGCAGCTTTTGGCTATGGTTGTTGCTGCGGTGGACAAGAGCGATAGAAAAACCTGCGTGAGGAGGGATTTAATGCCTTTCTGGGACCATTGCTACTATCCGAACCAGGAGCGAGGGAGGAATGGAAGCTTTTAGGTTGCTAATCATGAAATTTTATTCAAACCACAACACATCGGCACGCACACGCACAAATCGGTTGCAGAAAGCCCTGGGTTCCCTTCGCCGCCCTGGGAGAGAGGAGCTGCCGAGAGCATCGTGAGCTGGACCCGGCGGCAGCAAACCCTCCTGGTGCTGCCTAATGCCCGCGTCCCGTGGTTGTAAGCCAAAAAGCTTTTACAGCCTCTCAGCCCTTGCCTGTAAAGTCCAACGCCACTCATAAAACATTAAGAGGCGCAGCATTACTGTAACACTCTCCAAAGGGACCTGGAGGGCGACTAGACAGTTAGAGCCATTATTACACATCCTGAGCAAAATTGTTCTCTGCAAACCACATATAGCCCCTTACAGATTTCCATGCAGCGTGAGAGGTCGTTAATTCACGCCCTGATGATGAACTTAATTTTGTTTCCTGCTGAGCAAATGACGGCTTAGAGGCGACTTTGTCTTATTATGGCATGGAGACTTTTATTTTTGTTTGTGTTTGGTTTGTGTTTTCATCTTTTCTTGCATTGTTTGCAGAGTGGGGAACATGCGCCTGCCTTTCAATTGACGACTGATGGTTCTCCCACCAGCGGGGCCCCCCCCAGCCCCTCGGTCCTGTCCTGGACCCCTGGGGGTTTCACCTGCTGCAGGGTCCTCTGGCCAAACCCTGCCGTGCGCGCAGGGGTAGTTCTGGTTTTAACTCCTCTATCTCCCACTTGCATGGAAAGCTTCCCCCTCTCTTCTTTTATTTCCCCTCTTGAACATCGTCTTGCTACACGGCTGCCTCGGGTCGTCGTTCCCTTCCACCCCAGGAACGGCTCTGCCCGCGTTGCGGTTCTCTGGATCCTCCGGTTTCAGATGCGCCGCAGTCTTCTCCAAATGCAGCCATCTCCTGGCTTCATGAACCAATTAACGAAAAACTTTCCTCCAATAGAGTAAATAATTTTTTTGCTGCGAGGCCAGAATTTAGCTGGGAACATCCGCAGCGCGCCGAGCGCTCCCCTCCCCGGCCTCAGCCTCCTGCTTCCCAGGGCCCCCGTCCAGGGCTGGGCACTGGTTCCTGCACTCCATTTTTTCCTGAAAGGAGGAGCGTCCTGCCCTGACTTGCTGAACCCTGGGAAGTCCCTCAATGGGGAGAGGGGACCCTTGGGTACTAGACTCAAATTTCTCAGAAACTCCGAGTCCTTTTCCACTCCCACTGTCATTCCCGAACCAACGAATTTTTTTAAAAAGTGGAAAGGCCGGCGCGCCCCGCCGCTCGTCCCTTCAACGGGGTGCGGAGCCGGGGGCCAGAGAGTCCAGGTTTCTGGACCGATGCTGGGTCCTTCTGGCACGGATCCCTCTGGGCCAGGATTTTGTACTTATTTTGTTGCCCCCCCTCCCTTCAGTAAGGCCCACGCAGCTGAAGTTGTGGCAATCGCTTCTTTCCCATGAGTTCATCTTGTAATAAATCGCACCAGCCCTGCGGAGGGGGAGGAGAAAATTGAAAGATGTTTATAGAATTAATTCTCCAAAGGAAATCGCACGGGGGAGGGCAAATGGGGGGAAGAGTTGGGAATTTTTTTTTTGTTACAGAAGATAGATTTTTTTTTTTTTTTTCAAAGTTTGTTGGATGGAAAAAAAATGTGCAGAACAACTTCAGTGCTGGGAAACAATTAGATTTCCTCCCCTGCTGCTCTTCTGAGGAAGAGTTCACTCCCTGTTCGCGCTGTGTGGGTTGTCTTCTGCCACCCTGGGGTCGGAAGGGACCCTTCCCATCCCATGGGACCTGCCACGAATTCCACGTGGTTACTCCAGCGCTGACCCCTGTAACTGGTCGGACTGGGATGTGTCTTCCAGAAACATCCCATCTCTTTGAGCCGGAGCTGCGGCGAGTCCCCCGTCTCCCTCCGGACTTTCCCCTGATGCCCGTTTAATCGCGCTCCTCAAAACTTCGTGCCTTCTGCGGGGTCGCACACCTCTCCTCCCTCCCACCCGTCCTCCGTGCCGCCTTCGAAGGGCTGGGGGAGCGCTTGTGCACAAAGAGGAGAAAAAAAGAAAAATAAAAAAGGTTTTGAACTGCTCTGCAGTATGCAGCCAGCACAGGCGGGCAATGGAGGGGCTGCGGCCAGAGCCCCCCTCGGTTGTGCCCGGTGCCCGGGGCTCCGGTGCGGGGGAACCGGGAGGATGCTACCATCTGGCGGCACGGGCTCGCAGCGGCAACCGGCTCCATCCCGGCCCTGCCTCGCTGCCTGGCCTGGCCTGGCCTTCCCTAGAGAGCCTCGGTAGGGAAAACAAACAGGCGACCCCAGAAGAAAAGCCCCAACCCCTCCGTGCTGACGCTGGAGGGAAGCTAGCTGCTCGGCTTGTGTTGGTAAAGGGGGTCGCGGGGTCGCAGCAGACAAAGCAATTGCCTTGACAACGCAGCCGTGCGTAACCTCGTGCAATTAACTGTCCCGCGTTTGCAGACCAGAACCCGGCAGTAGAGGAGGCGGAGGATGACCGCGATAAACCGAAGCTGCTGGATGAGAAGGAGGAGATGGAGCAGCCACAAATCAAGGTGCCCATGGAGGTACCCAAGAGAGAGGAGGAGAGAGGAAAGCCGGAGGAGAAAGTGCAGCTCGACCGTCCCGATCAAGGTAACGAGGAACCTGGGGAAAGGGTGCCAGCTTTGGAGCGGGGCGGTGTACGTTGCAGGACTATTTCAGATAAAGATCCCAATCTCGGCTCATTACCTCGTGGACTGAAGGTGGTTTAGTATTTGATGCTCTCGAGGCTCGTTAGGAATGCAGCCTCCTGATGAGGAAGGAAAGGCAGGGCTGAAAAAGGGCCGCAGGTAGCTGGGTGTTGGGTGTGCTGCGAACCTGCTGCCTGTTACTGTCTCCCATGGGTCTCGAGCCCCCTAACCCTGCCTGTCGTCCGCCCTAGGGATCGCCCTGCCCGTGGGGGAAGCGCATCGCCACGAGCCACCCGTCCCGCACGACGAAGTGGTAGTGGACATGGGGCGGGAGCGGGAGGAATCGGATGAGAAGAAGCTTGTGCCCGGCGGAGCCAACGATCGTGTGCTTAAGCCGGCGCTGGAGGAGCCAGCCGTGCCGAATCCTCAGAAAGAGGTATTTAGCCCGAAACAAGGGAAGGAAGCGCTTGCTGAGAACCAACTGCGGGGAGGGACTGATGAGCCCGTTAAGAATCCAAAGAACGTCCTGGAGGAGATCGTGCAGCAGGATGGCAGGCCGCCATACAAAGGGCTGGAGCCAGACAAACAAGTGCTGGAAGCCAAGGCGCAAGCTGCCGTGCCGGACGGTGAGAAGAAAGCTGAGGCTGCAGGTGACAGGGAGAAATCAAAGCTCCAGCTCCCCAGGAAAGCAGAGGAGGCTGCGAAATCCGTGGAGAAGGAAGCCGACCCTGGTAAGCTCCCTCTACGGTGGCTTGTCTGAACAAACTCCCTTCTTGGCCTGTAATCCCCCCGGGAGACTGGAATTTGGTTATTCCTACCTACATCCCAGTGTTTCCTTTTAATTTCACGAGATTAGCACGTGAGCATGCACAGCCTCTTCAACAGCTGTTGGGGAAAAGGAGGAATCTGGTGGCTTTGACAGCTACTGTAATATCTGTCAAACAGTTGTTTGCTAGCCTACTAAATGTCAGGTGCCATGCTGTTCCTCTGCGTCTCTGAACTCACTGGGGACACGGAGCCGGGAGATCTTGACAGGTAACACATTGCTAAGTGCCCGTCTAAAAGCTAGTTAGAACTCTTCTTGCATTTTAATTGGCTGAGGTAGTTAGCGCTGGCTCGCTGCCACGCTGCCACGAGTCTATAAGATTGTTAAATATTTTTTTTTATTACTTCCCTTGCAGTTATTGGGTTGAATATAAACTGTGCTGGCTTAGGCAGGGAGGGACAACACGATGCGGACTCATTTTAGAGAACATCTGCCGCTGGAGCGTCCTTATTGACAGCAGAGGTCTGTTGGTCTGCAGGTGAAAAGCAGGAGCTGCCCCTCCCGGACAGAGCGGATCAGCTGGAGCCAAGGGAGGCCCGAAACGCTGAGGAGAAGCAAAAGGAGAACGCAGAGAGCAAGCTGGAGGGTGAGCCTGCGTCCATAGGGCGTGCGGGGAGGGGAAGGCGCTGGGCTCCTCCCGGGAGCCAGGGCTGTGAGAGCAGGATTTCTCTCTGCAGGAGGACGGTGCCAGCCAGCACCGTTCTTGGCTCTTGCCAGCACATAGCTTTAGGCCCTAGTCACCTCCGCGACGGCAGCAATTAGTGCCTGTCTCCAGCAGGCTCACGCCTGCGGCGCAGGCTGGCTCTTCCACGGTGCGGCCCCTGGCAGGGCTGCTCCGGGACGTGAGTCACGCTGGCACCCGGGCCCGGCTGCTTCAACTGCTCGAGCGCAACCCAGTGCTGCCCTGGCAAGAACGAGAGTGGAGTGAAACCATTTGGCTGGTGTGAAACGGGGGGACCCCAGTAGCACAGTGGGGAGGTGGGTGGGCATTGCCCTACAGCCTCGTGGCGTGGGGCAGACGCAGCCTTTAGCGCGGGGGGAGACGTGGGCACGTAGGCGTGCGGGGAGCCGTGGCAAAGCCCCATCTGCCCCTTCCATGGAGCCTCGGTGCTGGTGCTGTGCGGTCAGCCCTTCCTCAGGCTGAGCTCGTTGCCTTCGGCCTCTGCCTTGCGAGAGGGGTTGGAGCCCGAGTTTGGACTCGCAGCCTATGTATGGTGCGGTCTCATGGCTTTTCGCCTGTATTCTGGTCCAAAGGTGATGGGCGTTTGGTCTGATGAGCGATGGCAGTGGGCAGACTCTGCTCCTGGGGAGCCTATTGGCCTCCCCTTTTTTTGGTGGTTACATCTTGGTTTTCTAATTATTTTCTTTCCATTCTGTATTGCAATGGGAGTTTAAAAAGTGAGTGTAAAAAGCTAGTAGTGGGTACGGACTATGAGGACTCTTCATGTTTCAAGGAGGATGAAGGGACCTGAGTTTCCGTGGGGTTTTTCATCTCGATCTGCATGGGAGTTGCTGGGGATGCTCTCCCATGAGGACGCCACCAAAAGGTGCTCTGGGCTTGTTCTGCTCCTCCGCTGTGAGCTGAGCTTCGTACCCAGAGGCTGGGAGAGGGTGGGAAGGGTGAAAAGGCATTGCGGGAGCGAGGTGGAGGGCATGCAGCTCCGAGGATGCTCCCTGCAAAGAGCTAGCTGCCTCACGGGACCGTTGTCTAGTGCTCCGGCTGTAGCTGCCCTGGGCTATGTGAACTCAGGTACTTTCAATTTATAATTGTTTAAGATGTTTTTTATGAAGAGTGCCTGTTAAAATCCAGCCAAAGCACTGGCTGAGGCCTGCTTTCCTCACGATCAAAGGAGGAACCTGGAGATAGCGTTGCCTTTTGTTTGCGTGGAAGAGGTGTGCTGGACAAATACAGGATTTACACGTGTTTGCAGAGCTCTCACTGAGAAACGCTTTGATTTGGCATTAAACGTTTGCCTGCTGTGTGTTCAACCTAAACATTCCCATGCCGAGCTGGGACCTGGCAGTCTCAGAGAGCGAGATAGTAGAAATTACTTCTGTTTTCATTGTTTGTTCTGAGCAAAGTGTGAAAAATAAACAGATCTGGAGAAGTCAATTGCTCTCTTGAAAGAACTGAATTCCCCCTCGCAGCTCAGCTTTCTGTAAACGGAGTGGAAGGGGAATTCCAGGGGCTGGCAGCTCATCGCACCATAATGTGAACTGGAAATATTTCTCTGTAATCACCTTGTGGGTGATTAGCAGGACAGGGGGAGGCAGTGTGTGCGGGAGAAGGATTAACCTGGACAGCATCCCTTTTTAATTTAAATGGCATTGTACGGGCTATTAATTTTGACATTCTTTCCTGTGGGGCATAACAGTCTAGAAACACCTAGAGTTTTGGAGGAAAGCTGCTTGCCGGTGTGGGAGGCGAGCGACACACAGGTTTGTACCTTCCGGATACGACACGATACGTCTGGGTGTCTGTCCGGGCGGAGAAAAGGCAGCGACGTTTCCGTGCAGACCTGGGACTCATAGTTTGTGCGTGACGTGTTGCTTGCAGCGAGTGAATCGGCGTGAGTCACTTCTACTTGGCCTGAAGCACACTCGTCTGGTTTGTGTGACTTCGCGGCTGCGAAGGGCCGGTGGGCAGGGATTTTCTCCTGTCACGTGGCACGGGGAGCTCAGTTTTATTGCGGTGGCTCGGCGAGAGGTGGGGCTGCCTTCCTGCGCCGCTGTGGTTTCAACCTGCCTGACCACCTGTGCCGCTGCCTGCGAGAGTACTCGGCTGTTAAACCTTTGTTTGCTGCTCAAGATCCCAGCCCTTTCGCTGCGCTCAAAGCCAAAATCTTCGGCAGGATTGTTCGGTGGGTGTTTTCCTGCCATGGGCCAGGCTAAACCTTCACTTGACTAAGCCGGGAGGAGAGACAACAGCAGCCCCTCGTCACTCTGGCTGTGACCCAGGCCTTGCCCCCTGAAAAGACCCAGCTCAGCGTCTGTACCTCATGTGTTGGGTCAATGTTTCTGTGTAGGTTTATCCCACCATGCGGGTAGTTTCCCTCTGAGGGCAGCTCCTGGTGCTGTGCCTTAGTTGACTTCTTCCAGTTCCTCTTAAGATTCCACATTTGCCATTTCTGGCCTTTCCAGGCTCAGTTTAGCTGGGATGAATTCTTTGCAGTGCATTCAAAGAGATGACCTGTGTTTGAAAAGCCTGGCTTATCTAGAGAGCCGAGCTTACGCAGGCACCGCAGGCCATTTTAAAAGCAGCTCGTCTTGCTTGGGCAGCCGAACCCCTCGCTCTTGACTGACTTCTGCTGGTCCTGTCCTCTTCCAGCTCCTGTGCCAAGCAGCCGCCTCGTCCTTCCCTGCACTGGGACCCCAGCAGACCTGCTCCCCTGTACCTCCTCTTCGCGGCTCTTCTCCCCGAGCAGTTAATGGGAGCTTGGTTTTGGTCCCTCCGCCCAAATCTTCATGGGAGGGCAGTGTCCTGTCTTAGCAGGTACACTAGTGAGCAGCCAGTCTGGGCTTTTGGCTGCCATCCTTGGTGGAGGTATGCTGGAGCGGTGCCACCGTGATTGAACCGGCGGAGCCAGCGGCAGAGCCAGCGGCAGAGTCGTGCCGCATCCTTCCCTCCCTCCTGGCGAATGGGCAGTGTTTGCAGAGCACGACCTTCCTGCCAAGGAAAGCCCCTGCAGCCCCTCCAGCGCTGAGAGATGATTAGTGAGGGGTTTGAGTCATGGATTGTTTTTTTTTCTTTCTTTCTTTCTTTCTTTCTTTTCCCTTTTCTAGAAGCGGGGCAGGCGAAACTGCTTGATCATGCTGTGCTGCTGCAGGTGATCAAAGAACAGCAGGTGCAGCAGAAGCAGCTACTTGACCAGCAGGCAAAACTGCTGGCTGTAATTGAAGAGCAGCACAAGGAGATCCACCAGCAAAGGCAGGAGGAGGGAGGAGAGGAGAAGCCAAAGCAAGGTAAGGACATTGCCAAGGAGCGTGACCCCTCCGCGGGCTGATCGCTGCTCAAAGCAGCTTTAACATCAGGCTGGGAGAGATCCGAGTCCCTTTGGCACACGGCAGAGTCCACTCTGCAAAAGCCATTCCTGTGTCCAGCCCTGACCTCTGAGGTGGGGGTCCCTGGCCCCTGTGCATGGGGATAACACTGTCCCCCACGGCTGTCCTTGTTCTCCCGCGTGGCCGTTGATGGTGCGATCTCTTCTCCTGGCCCCCGTTGTGTAGAACAGGGTGGTGGCAGAAGGGAATCTCTCACTCATAAGAAGCAGCTTTTATGTGTTGGGTTTTGTTCTGCAGCGGAAACGCAGCAGGAGCCCGCTCTGCCTCTCTCCAAGAGCAAGGAGGACGAGGGCCTCGGAGCTAAGCAAGAAGCTGCTGCAAAGCTGCTCAGCAAAGAGCTGCTGGAGCTCCCTGCGCAGGGCCCGGGCAGGCAGCCTGCTGACTCCGCGGAGCAGCGCAGGGGGACTGCAGGAAAGCTGGAAGAGGCTGGGCACAGGCGTGAGATTCCTGGGGTTCCTCCGAAGGAGTGGAAGGTGCTGCCACAGGAGAATGTTAAAAATGCCGCGGAGAACTGGGATCCCCTTCACGGGGATGCCCAACACATTCCAGCAGCCAGAAACCACCTAGAAAAGAAGCCCTTGGCGGAGGATTTAGGAGGAGATCGTGAAGCCAAAGCTGGAAGGGATGTCCATGAGAAGAAGAATTCCCTGAAAGCCGTGGAAGTAGCTACAGCGCCCATCCAAAGAGACCAGCCGGGGGCTGCCAAAGTTCAGGGAGTAGCAGGAAAGAGTCTGGAAAGAGACTCAGGAGTAGACCTTAAAGCCAAAGCACTGAGTCAGGTGGAGCCCAAAGACCTGGCAGTTGTGCTGGACTCCTCCAGTAAAAGGAACGTGGCGGAGAGCGAGCAGCACCTACGGGAACGTCAGAGAGGTGCAGACCCCGAGGGAGCTGAGGGTGCTGGCAGACGGCAGCAGGCCTCGGAGAGCGACCTGGCTGGCAAAGGGGAGGTAAAGGAAGAAGCTCCTCGGGAGAAGGTGGTGGATGTGGCCCAGGACCCGCAGGGAGATCTGCGGGGCAAGCAGAGGCATGGGGATGAGGGTCTCTCAAACGATGCTGAGAAGAAGCCAGGCCCCGAGAATGCTCCTGCCCAAAAGCCTGAGAAAGGGGCGGCTGCCCAGGAGGACCAGAAGCTGGACCACGATGTCAAACCGAACCGGGACCTGAAACTGCAGGCGGACCTGGACCTCCGCCGGAGGAGACGGGACCTGCTGCCTCTCGAAGAGGAGGAGGCTGCACAGGGGGAGGGGGTCTTCATTGGCCTGAACCCCCTTCCAGATGTGAAAGTAAATGACCTCCGGAGTGCTCTAGAGACACGATTAAACCAGGTTGCGGAGGGGGCTCAGCAGGTGGTCCACAGCCGGCAGATCAAGCAGATGACGCAGGCGGACGGGAGCGTGTGAGCGGGGTGGTCGTGCTTGGTGGGTGGCTGCGGGTGTTGGCCACAGGCACGAGGCTGAGGAGCTCCGTGGGGAAGGTTCAAGTTCGCCAGCTGGTTTTTTGGCCGCTGTTGCTCAGGCAGTGGTTGGTCTGAGCCAGCAGCACTTTGCTGGATGCAGCGCTTGGACCCACGGGATCTCCTTGGACCTGTGAGCACCGTCCAAGGGACCGTGGCCTTCTCCAGTCTGCTACGGTAGCACCTCCCTGCGTGTGCCTGCAGGTGCCTGAGGAGATGGCAACCGTGAAGGAAAAGCTCCTGCTCTCCTCTGGCTTTCAAAGGTTGCCATTTACCTTGGTTCCCTGCCAGGCCAGCTCTCAAGGACCTTTCTCAACGTCTCGTTCGTATCGAATTGCCTTCTCCATCCAGCTCTCGACTCCCCTTTCAGAACCGAGGTGGTCGTCTGCAAGGTTCCCCTGCCTGCTTGGAAAGGCTTCCCTGGCACCTGCCTTGGGTCGCTTGGCCCAGGCTGTGCGGGGCTTCGGGGCAGGGGCCTGGGGCTGCGGGAGGAGGGGAGCCGGGGACGGCACATCTCGGGAAAGGCTTTATCCTGGAGAAGCATCAAGTCATGAGTTGAGGACCAGCTTAGCCAATTGCTTTGGTGTTTCTCTTGAAATGGGAGCTGTTAGTCTTGCATGTTTAGGAGATAGTTGTGGTTTAGGAACCTAGTTTAGTAGAAATGCTGCCTTAAACGGGCACAACTGCTGCTGTTGTGCTGCCTCTTCTCCCAGGGATTTAACTGGTTGGCCACACACTAGCAATAACGCGGAGCTTTGCTCTTGCCACCCTCCCCGGATGCTCAACTCTCGTCTGTGCTTTCAAGCTTGACTTCTCCTGTCCAAAGTGCATTATGAAGCTCAACCCGGGGGCTGCAGACTGCCCCCCTCCCCCTTCCCAAACCAGCTTGATTTTTCTGCAAGAGATGACTAATTTGGGAACAAAAGACGTGGCTTAAAAGGGCGGACTCGGGGGCTTGGCTCAAGCATACCTACCTCTTCTCTCTGTAACGCGGTGGAGCGTGTTTGTTTTGTGTGTTCTTCCCAGCCCCCCTCTGCGCTGTGTTTTACATCCATAGATGTCAGTACTCCGCCCCTGGAAATGTATTTTATGAGCGAGGAAGGGAAGAGCTTCTATGAGAGCCCTGGTTCGTTTCAGGCTCCCAGACAGTGATTCATTCCTTTGGTTTTGGGGTTTTTTTTTTTGTTTTCACATCCTGACTTGCGAATGTAAGGAATCAATTCCCAAAGCTCTCACTAGAATGGCTGAAATTTCCCAGCCTGGAGTCTACAGACCTCATCACTGTGGTGGTTTTTATATCTGTATCTCAAAATGTCTTTGGTAAACTAGCCTTGTCGAGTTTGTGTCCGATGAGACCTCGCAGGGCCAGGGACGGGTCGCTACCGGACACGTGGGACTGTCACACCGGCTCTGGTCACTCAGCATCTCTGCTGCCGCCTGCCTGGGCCGTGTGCCTGTTGCTCGAAGGATGTCATCTTAATTTCTCATTAAAATGACACAGAGCCACAGGGCAACAGCCACGGACTGGGGCGTACTTCTCCAGGACCACCCGGTCTACTTCCCTATGACTGTCATGGCCTTAACCCTCAGGACTCCCCCCGTAGTAGAAATGAGCTTCTCCATTACGCTGTCTTAAAGCACAAACAACACGGCTGGGAGTCCCGGAGCCGCTCCCCGCCATGTCCATGTCTGTCGGGGCACGGACATCAGCGGGTTCCCTGGCCC